TTCCCCCCCCCCCCGCCCCCTCACACACACACACATAAAGGTCACTGTGACCTTTATTTTCCACTTCAATAACAACTTTGGTTAGACTTTTCATTCAATTCCAGTCCCCCGTTAGATAAAATCATTTAAGCTTCTTTTCCATCAAAGTATGAAAGGAGGCCTGTACGGTAAAGTTTTATGGTATCTGATTTTGAAGAAGATTTTGTGTTTATCAACAATAATTCATTCTTTCTACATCTACTTTTTATTCCATCCCCCATTGTTGAGCGGAGCATTCATGGGTGTTCCCCCTTTTTGTCCATCTGTATCTCTGTCCATGCAACATTTTTGTTAGACTTTGCATTAAATAGCTCTGTTAATCCAAAACTAGAAAACCCAACACTCATCAAACTTCATACGTCGATACATCTTTAGGAATACTGTAATATGTCTAATATAGGTCACTGCGACCTATATTTGCCACTTCAGTAACTTTGGCTAGACTTTTCGTTCAATTCCACTCTACTGCTGGATATAATTAGCTAAGCTTTCCTTCCATCAAAGTGGGAGAGGTCAGGCATATGTATGTTTGAAGGATCTCCGTGCCACTGCCAAAACCTGTAGCTAACTGTTGGAAACTGTTTTTCTGGCATGACTGTTTACCTTTAATGAACCTTTTCTGAAAAGAAAACCATACCTTGCAGGACTGTTATGAGAAATAATAAAAAAAAATAAAAAATATATATAATCAACAACAGTGTTCTGAATGTAAAAATCAGTGGAGATTAACTGTGATTTTAACCTTGGACTTCAGATTGTTATACTATCTCTCTAACCGATTGAGCTAGCTAAGTGTCCTAGCCCAACTCTGCTACTGTAAATGTTAAATCCAAACGGAAGCTAAGGGGAGGTTACTGTATATAGGGAAAACCTGTGCAATGGGACAGGGATCCTTAATAACATTTTTCAGTCTTTAAATGATAAACAAATTCAAAGCTAACTACAATGATCTGTAGACATTTGAGATCGGGTTCAGTCATATACTGACTTGGTATCATCATAGTAGTCTATGTACTATATTGTTCCTAATTTCATTTTGAGAAATTCTCTGATAGTGCTGTCATATTGTTTACATGGTGCTTTGTTTCACCAACTTTACTGGACTGAAATAGCTGACACTTTTACCTTGCATCCAATATTAGCTAGATTTAAGGATATATGTGCCACAGGTATTTTATTTACTACAACGCATTGTGTCAGTTTAAAAATATGTAAACATCTATGTGAACAATGATTTTCACTTGGCATAATCTGTAGGTTAGACAATTAAAAATAAACAATTACAAAAACACTAATAAACCTCCAATAATCTTGATAAAATATATTTTCTTTTTTAAATCTGAAGGGAGACAACTCAAACACAGGTCACAGTGTGTGGAAGGTTTTACTGTATACATAGTTATTTGATGATTGCAGTTTCTAAAGACTGTCTAGGTATCTATCAGAGGTGTATTGCATCTCTTCAGACTTTTGTTCTAAATTGTCTATTGATGGGTCGGTTTTCGGAGGTTTAACATGGCCGAGAGTGGCTGTGTCCATGTGTGACCAATGCCCTCGGGTCACTTTTTCATGGTCAGTGCTGCCAAAGTTTGCTGTAGAGATTAATGATGACATTGTCAGGGCTGTAACACCTGTGCTCTGATCATACTTCATACTGGTACATCACCCATACCTGGGGACCAAAAACAACAACGGAAAAGAGACAGGTCATATAGCTGATGAGGATTGTAGAATTCCATGCAATATGGCATGTGTTCTATGGAGATATATGTGATTATTAGTGTTTGTGTTGCGTTGTGTGTGGTCTATGGGGTTGTCACCATGGGTAGATGGATTTACCATGAGGATGAGATACAGACACTGCGTGTCAAATTTGACCAGGTATGTGTCATAGGCTTGAGAGGATCTTCAGTAAAGTTCTGTAATAAGTCATGTATTTCCAGTCCAATACACATTGTCACTATTTGAGAGAGAAAACAAAAATAGGATTTGGAATTCTTGTTAATTTAAATTTTCATGGAATTTTGTTTTTCGTTTTCTTGTTTTATCATAATATATCATAGAGAATTTATGTTTTCCCAACAGCCAGGGTCGTGTGGAGACAGTATGCGTTTCATGGAAAATTACATACCGTAGTTGTTTTTATACCTTTATAAAATCTTACAACAGCATAGGATGTTGGGCAAATGCAGGTGACAAGTTGTTTTGATGTTCTTCTGGAGGCCTGGTTACAGCCGAGCAATTTGCCAGTAACGGTTATACTAGGGGTCACAAAGCATATTGACAAATTAAATGCAATTTTGACTCATAAAAAACATTAAACAGTTTGCTTTATTCATGTTGATTATTTATCACTGTCAATGCTGTCTTTAAACATGTCCTTAATTTAGAGATGGATACAAATTTGTCTTATAGATAGTTGGTCTTGTAGACTTAGCTTTATTACGTAGATATATAGTAACCTGGTGCAATTAATAGAGTATTTATAGACAAATGTATGTTGCAGCTATAGATAGGTCAATATGAAAATTGAAAATTCTAAAAGAGATGATTTCCTATCAAATTTTAGCTGATTTATTTGTTTTCATATTTTTGTCATTTAAATTGAGTTACACCGAAATATTTTTTTCTTCCACTTGTAGTAAGAGGTAAAACGTTCAGTGTTCCCAAAAATCCCCCAATGACAGGTTTTCACCCCCAAACAGTTGGTTGTACCCCCAGTTTTCAAGAACTGCCCTATGTAACTATATATTATGTACCTAGGGGTACAGAATCTTGGAAATGTATCAAATAAACCCCAAAATCTAAAATTCAATGGGAACACTGACGTTATATATGTAAGCTTAAATGTTATTAGTGTTTGAAATTGTTAAAGGTAGTCTTCACTGTAAAAGGTGATACATGTACATGTATTGGCCTAGTTCTTGTACCTTGATGGATGACAAGTAATCAAGCTTTCATGTATATTAGATGTGTCCTACTTCATCCTTGTACGTGTGTCACAGAATTGCCTATGTTCTGTAGTGTACATATGTATAGATGCTGCGCTGCATTTAATGAAATCATTGCTGGAGTAGACATGTAAATTTCATCCTACATTTCATCTGTACAACATTAAATCCTGTGTGACATAAAGGTCAGATTAGACAGGTTGTCACATTATAAAGATAGTTTGGTTGGTTGGATTAGAAATTGGATTGCATTAACTTATTCACCCCTGAAGACACATTTGAACTCTTCAAATTCAAAGGTTGGAATAGTTCATTATGAAATTTCAGGGGTGAATGAGTTAAGATAAAGGGTACCAACAAGTTAATCCTTATTGTTACTATGCACTGCCAGTATTTTAAAAACAATTTAGTCCTTTTAAAAAATAATATATTCCAGAAAAGATACATGTTGTGATGAATTTTACAGAATTACAATTGTTTGAAATTTGAATTGTTGAAAATATTTGTTCATGGTTCTATTGAGCTGTGCCCCCAGGTACTTGGTTAGATGTGAAAGTCTCTAAACAATTGGGGTACAGCCAACTGTTTCGGGGGAAAGAAACACTTGTTTGGCGGTTTGGGGGAACACTGTTAGAGAAAGAAAAAGAAAAAAATGAGTTTTGGACATCTTAATTTCAAGATTGTCTTCTAGTCTTCTATCATCTTAAAATTATTGCTTAACTCATTCACCTCTACATATTTAAACTGGACTTGCCCAGTCCTTGATTTGGTAGGGTTCAAATGTGACTTTAGGGGTGAATGGGTTAAACACTTGTTCAGCAAAACTGGAAAGTGCTTCATGTGGATCTTTATTAATTGTTGAATGGAGACACTTTGCTATTAGACATGATCATGAATTATTCAAAACTTCTTTTCTTTGATCTTTTTCAGGCATTTGGAAATGCAAAGACAGTTCACAACAACAACTCCAGTCGCTTTGGAAAATTCATCCAAGTCAACTACAAAGAGAATGGCATGGTACATGGGTAAGTCTCACAATAGATAGGTACATTGATAAGCGATACAATAGATAGGAACATGGATAAGTGTTACAACAGATAGGTACATGGGTAAGTGTTACAATAGATAGGTACATTGATAAGTGTTACAATAGATAGGTACATGGATAAGTGTTACAACAGATAGGTACATGGGTAAGTGTTACCATAGATAGGTACATGGGTAAGTGTTACCATAGATAGGTACATGGATAAGTGTTACAATAAATAGGTACATGGATAAGTGTTACAATAGATAGGTACATGGATAAGTGTTTCCATAGATAGGTACATGGATAAGTGTTACAATAGATAGGTACATGGATAAGTGTTTCCTTAGATAGGTACATGGATAAGTGTTTCCTTAGATAGGTACATGGATAAGTGTTTCCTTAGATAGGTACATGGATAAGTGTTACCATAGAGAGGTACATGGATAAGTGTTACCATAGATAGGTACATGTGTAAGTGTTACAATAGATAGGTACATGGGTAAGTGTTACACTAGATAGGTACATGGATAAGTGTTACCATAGATAGGTACATTGGTAAGTGTTACCATAGATAGGTACATGGGTAAGTGTTACCATAGATAGGTTCATGGATAAGTGTAACCATAGATAGGTACATGGATAAGTGTTTCCATAGATAGGTACATGGGTAAGTGTTACCGTAGATAGGGACATGGGTAAGTGTTTCCATAGATAGGTACATGGGTAAGTGTTACCATAGATAGGTTCATGGATAAGTGTAACCATAGATAGGTACATGGATAAGTGTTTCCATAGATAGGTACATGGGTAAGAGTTACCATAGATAGGTACATGGATAAGTGTTACCATAGATAGGTACATGTGTAAGTGTTACAATAGATAGGTACATGGGTAAGTCTTACAATAGATAGGTACATGGATAAGTGTTTCCATAGATAGGTACATGGGTAAGTGTTACCATAGATAGGTTCATGGATAAGTGTAACCATAGATAGGTACATGGATAAGTGTTTCCATAGATAGGTACATGGGTAAGTCTTACTATAGATAGGTACATGGGTAAGTGTTACAATAGATAGGTACATTGATAAGTGTAACCATAGATAGGTACATGTGTAAGTCTTACCATAGATAGGTACATGGATAAGTGTTACCATAGATAGGTACATGGGTAAGTCTTACCATAGATAGGTACATTGATAAGTGTAACCATAGATAGGTACATGGGTAAGTCTTACCATAGATAGGTACATGGATAAGTGTTACCATCAATAGGTACATGGGTAACTGTTACCATAGGGTGTGTATCTTCATAAGTCAATTAGTATTTATATATAGGTACATGAAGATTAATAGGTGAGTTACTATAGGTCAGTATGTTAACATCATTCAGGAAAGTTGTTTCTATAATACTGGGACTAAAGGAAAGATGGACAGGATGGGAAGATAGTGAGAACGAGAAAGTGATGAATAGAGGACTAGAGGAGATGGGTCAGAGAGTAAGACAAGATAGAAAAAGATAAAGTAGGGAAATAATATGGAGAGAAGGGAGGGAAGAAAGAGATATGGAGAGAGAAGAATTTAATATGATTTCTGCCTTGATATGTCTAGCCTAAACAAGCGAGGGGGAGGGAGAGAGGGGGGCTGGGGGTACAACAAGGGCCGATGTTATTGCTTCCGGACCTTGGTCTCTAGGTACTTCTTTGCCAAGTACCTATCTGAAGGAGCTGGTGAGAATGGCCTTTATTTGTGAAGAACTTAAAATTAGTACGTTCAAAATTGTCACACTTTCATCTTGACCTGATGTGCTCTACCTACCTATGTGTGAAGTGAAACAACTTCCTTCTCAGTATGATTAGTGTTGTTCTTGAACTTTTATCACAAGGAAAACTTGTTATTTTGAAGTTCGGATTATTATTAATCATAACAGTCGGCTAGATATTGAAGTAGATATGACTTAGTTAGATATATGATATTATAGTCTGGGTTTCTACACATCTCTTTGTAACTTAAGCAGGTACTTTCCTTAAATAAATGATGACAAGAATTTGACTCCTTTCCAAGAGTGATGTAGATATTTTTAACCCAATTTGATAATAATGATAATAAAAATTGAAAATGGCTTATCCCAGGGCTCCCCAACCCTGGCAGCCCCTGTCAGTTTTGTTTAAATAGTATCAATACAAAAATTGAGGTAAAGCTTGTGTGACAGGAAAATGATACGAAAATGTAAAAGTCATAAGAAGGCGGATTCTTCTTATGATTATTTTTCTTTTTCATAATTATACACAGTATTACCCTATTGCCCCACATTCCATTTGCCACCTTCCCTAACCCCAACTTGTTTTATGGTCTCATTTTCTCCTTCTTAAGAATTCTTTTCCAATTTTCCCACTATTCATCGCCAAATATCTTCATTATGCCATAATTACTTCAGACAAATAGTAGCAGTATACCTGGTAAGAAGATTCCAACCTACTTAGAAGTAGGATATATAATGATATATCTATCTATCTATCTATTAAAAATTTGGCTGGGGAAACGAAATGATTGAAAAAACAAAAGAACAGTCGTATAGTGATCCTCTTTTAAACTAAACTCGGAAGTTAATTCAGTCGCGAGTAAATAAAAGACTTTTAAGTACTATGACACATAAGAGGTATTGGTAATTAGTTTTATTTCCATATTTGAAGGCTAACCCAATATTGTTTAGCTGCGTGTACTTTGACCTAGCTCTGTGTGGTGCCCACGGTCTTTGTGACACTGTACCGACTGGCGGGTGACACAGACGAGTGGCAACTAGCAACGGATATAGAATCCACTCTTAAACACTTCCTTCGTTCACAAGGAAAGCAATTGCACAAACAGAGAGAAAAAAACACTAGTGTGGTGGCGAAAGTAAGAGGCCATTAAGACAACATTAGGGTGATAATTTGATATGTATAACTAGAGGGTTTGATGATGATGGTGTGCCGAGGTGCTAGAATTACACACCTGTGTCAGTGGTGTGGGAATGTTGTCCCACAATTCCGCACCAATTAGCGCCCAGTTCCCACAGTCGGTAACAGGCATAACAACATTTGTATACAATGTTGTAAGTAAAACAAGCATCTCAAGGGCTGGCTCGGCCTATACGGAAACAAAGAAGAGCGTAGAAAAGATCAAATTTGTTTTTTAGGCTCTACCACGTAGAGGAGGGGGCGATAAGTGTTTGTTATTTTTCTTGGGTCCTTTTGTCCGTCTGTCCTTTATGCCCTATGACAGGCTGTTTTGCCGTCGGCTCTATTAATTTAATATTTTAAGTCCAACAGTCTTCAAACTTGATTTGTACACATCTTGAGGAGGACTTCAGGAGTGTGTTACCAATCTATCATGATAAAGGTCACTGTGACCTATATTTTTCGCTTCATTGACTTTGGCTTGATTTTTCATCAAGCACAATTACTGTGGTTACACTATGTTCACCTCCATGTCCATAAAAGTGGCAGCATTTTTATGCATGTTCTACAAACATTTTAAGTTTCTTTCTGACATGGTCTGCGTTTTTTGGCCTACTACTTGTTGCTGCCATATGGGTGTTTCATGTCATAAGAATGAAAGCCGTTATTCAACTCCATATTTCTAATAAAATCAAGGGTGTTATTATTTGCTTTTAAAAATAAAGTTCACTTTATATATTCTCAAACCCTGCTAAGTTAAAGATTTTGATCATAGAAACAATATTAAGAGGAAATAATTAAATTGTTTCCATTAAAAGTTTTTGTTGATTCTAAAACTTTTCATTGAGGAAGATGTGTGACATTGATAAATGGTCTTAACGATAGAATTCAATTTCAATTTCTCAAGTGCTTTTACTGGTCAGAGACCACTTGTCAGAAGTGCTGTTTACTAAAATATAAGGAGTTATTGACTGAAATTCTAAAATATTTGTTAAATCCCCAGAAATTGTTTTTCTATGTTTTTATCAATTCAGAAGATCATTTAAAATCCTGATGCATGCAGTTTTCATTCCAGACATAAATAGCTAAGAAAGTGCTCAATTTTGAAAATGAAATTAGACAAACCATTAAGTTAACTACCCATTGAACAACCAGCCCTGTTGTGAATGTTGATAATTTCAGGTAAACATTTGAGGAAATGTCGGGGAACTTTTGCCCTAGATTCGTGACGTTTGTTTACGGTACATGGTAATACTAGTGTAACATTCAGTAACCATGTGATACATTGCCAGGATGTATCTGGACTTACTGTGTATCTATTGATTGAAGGTCACAGCGACCTTTTATCTTATACTGTTGTTTAGAGTTGTGGTAACAGATGGTTCAGTCGAGGACTTATCGCCCGTTATTTCTTGTACGACCTGTTAAATATGTGGTGGAGTCTCCTCACCTGTCCGACACCTAAATTACACACTTATATAATTAAAGCATTTCGTAGGTAGTTTTGGCAACAAATATATACAGCTTACAATAGGGGATTAACTCTACCGATGGTGATGAGGGCGGGGAGAGCGAAACTGCTCCATCATAGGGCTCTAAACATGGCACTAAACACCCAATCCCCACTGACATTGAGCCTCAAGTGTTTGGTTTATATCCACTGCAACTGTTTTAACACAGACTGTAGATGTTGGAACAGATGAACCACTTTCATCATCCTTGGTTTCCTGTCGGGAGGAAAAAAACTTTCTAAACCAATACTGTAAAACCTTGTTATTCTGCAATAAGTTGTCTAGTGAATTTTTTGGCATTATAAAGGGGTTTTGCAATACATTGAGGGATACGTCCAATAAAACTGTTTCAGGTGCAAGGGGAATTTCATCAGTTTTACTATTGTTTATATTTAAACAAAGGGCATTATAAAGAAGTTTTACTGTATATAAACAAGGGGCATTATATGGAAGTTTTACTGTTTGTAAACAAGGGGCATTATATGGAAGTTTTACTGTTTGTAAACAAGGGGCATTATATGGAAGTTTTACTGTTTGTAAACAAGGGGCATTATATGGAAGTTTTACTGTTTGTAAACAAGGGGCATTATATGGAAGTTTTACTGTTTGTAAACAAGGGGCATTATATGGAAGTTTTACTGTTTGTAAACAAGGGGCATTATATGGAAGTTTTACTGTTTGTAAACAAGGGGCATTATATGGAAGTTTTACTGTTTGTAAACAAGGGGCATTATATGGAAGTTTTACTGTTTGTAAACAAGGGGCATTATATGGAAGTTTTACTGTTTGTAAACAAGGGGCATTATATGGAAGTTTTACTGTTTGTAAACAAGGGGCATTATATGGAAGTTTTACTGTTTGTAAACATAGGGCATTATATAATAGTTTTACTACTTTTAAACAAGGGGCATTATATAGAAGTTTTGCTGTATATAAACAAAGGGCATTATATGGAAGTTTTACTGTATATAAACAAGGGGCATTATATAGAAGTTTTGCTGTATATAAACAAGGGGCATTATATGGAAATTTTACTGTATTTAAACAAGGGGCATTATATGGAAGTTTTGCTGTATATAAACAAGGATCTTTATATTTGAAGCATTTAGTTGTTCAATTCTTACCTCCACTAAGAAACTGTGTTTTGTTTACAGTGCCATTGTGGAAAAGTACCTGCTCGAGAAATCCAGGATAGTCCATCAAGCAAGAAATGAAAGGTTTGTTGTACAGAATTTATTTTCATTTTGTTTTTGTTTAATAGAATGTGTGGGAAACAGAAATATAAGTATTTGTTATAAGGCATATGGATATATTTAAAGCTATTGGACTTACTACAAAAGCTAACTTGACCTTGTGTGACCTTTTAACTAGGTGCCATGTTAGGTCAGATAAGTCTAGCAGGTGGACAGAACCATTGATCTACTGAGACTGGTCATTAATAATTTGTGATCCCCAAGGCTGACCTCTGCTGCTTTGACCCTACATAAGGTCACTATGCTTTAGGGGTCACATTTGTAGATTTCACAAGAAAACCTGGATAATCTGACAGGGACAATATGGTGATGTCGCATGTACAAATACTTGTACTTATCACTGAAACTGCTGACATCATTAGTACATGTGTTCATTGATCTAACACTGAAACAGGTGACATCATCAGTACATGTGCTGATTTGGTAAAAATAAAGTGACATCTTAATTGATGTTCCTAGTGAAATAAAGTATGATTTAATTACAGAAGTCAGATGGTACAAGGGGGAGATTGAGTTCATAGGAAACTTATGATCCTTTTATAAATGCAAGGAAACAGTTTGATGATAATGTTATGACAATTTACAGAAATTTTAATTAGGCTTAAGCTTATATAAGTTCACAAAGACCTTGTATAAATTGTTACTGAAAACATAATTAAATTCAGGACTGATTTGTCTAGATATTTAACAAGTCAAAATTCAGTAAAAAAAAATCTTCAAATTTTTGAAAACATATGTATTTTTAAAAGTACTTCAGAACTTTTATTTTACATAAAGGGCAAAGTTTGACTTCCTGTATCACTTTTCAGCTTGCCATTGTGTTACTAGTCTGAGCAGTGATGTGTCCTCATGTATTGTGTAAAATAGGAAGCTTCTGAATGGCCTCCTTAAATTTTCTATTATTACAATGTCCAGTATTGATGATAAGTAGAACGTGCCTTTGCGATGCTGTCAAGCATGTAGCTAAAACATGTATGTATATATGTGTGTACAGTGTTTTGCCTATGGAGAATACTTGTGAGAAAAGTGGGTTAAAATGGGTATAAGGATTTTTCATTACCTACCAGTATACATTATAAATTTAGATACTTAATAAGCAGAATGATTATTTGATCATCCCGAAAAGATCACAGTTGCAAAAAAAGGATGACGTAGGCTTTTTTTTTAGTATGGATTATCACTGGTAAAATATGGTATGTATTGCGGGATAATTTAACTATCTTGTTGTAGAAAGTGACTATGACAGGACTAAAATTGTTTATATACACATAAAAAGTGAAGCGAGTTGCGACAATGAAGGACAATTTGTTTTAATGATAAAATAATTATTTTTGCAGAAACTACCATGTGTTTTACTACCTGTTGGCCGGGGCAGATGAACAGGAGCGAGAGGCGCTGCATCTTAGGAAACCAGAGGAGTACCATTACCTCCGTCAGGTAGACACACATACATAGAGTCAAAAGCAATGCAATTCCTTTATAATAATACCTTCAAATATGTCTTATGTTCAGTCGCAGTCAATCACCTTTCATCTAAAAAAGATTATTTTGCTTGATTAATAATTATGGAATATTTTGAACCAAGTTTGTCTATATCATATAACAAATAGAAACATAACAAAGCCGATCAGATACAACGTCCGTGTTCCGTTAGTTCCAAAGGTTCCGTAGCCTTCTGTGGATTAATTCCAAATGGAGTTCAGTAGTCCAGCACAAAATATGATCTGATGACAGCTAATGTGTTGAAACATGTCAATATTGCAAACAAATGCCAATCACCTTCTTGTGGATGTTGACCAGCTATTTTTACTTTGAAATGGAAAAAAGTCAAATGGTTATTTTACATAATGCTAATGTTTATGCTAATATCAGCTGTTTTACAGCTAATAGCTATGCTGATATCAGTTGTCCATTACCGCTTAGAGCTATGCTGATAACATTTTGTACATTACAGCATAGAGCTATATATACTGGTAACATTTTGTACATTACAGGCTAGAGCTATGCTGGTAACATTTTGTACACTACAGCATAGAGCTATGCTGGTAACATTTTGTACATTACATCATAGAGCTATATATATATACTGGTAACATTTTGTACATTACAGCATAGAGCTATGCTTGTAACATTTTGTACACTACAGCATAGAGCTATGCTGGTAACCTTTTGTACATTACAGCCTAGAGCTATGCTGGTATGAGTATGTAAGTTACAACTTAGTGCTATGCTGAGATAAAAAAAAACTATTGCAACAAAACGTTATGCTGATAACAGCTTTTACATTACATTACTAAAGCTACGTGTGAGCATTTTCTACAGCCGACATTTCTATGCGTGGGTGGGGTTGAGATGACTTTCATTGTTGCCGTCCTAACTACTGTATTATGCAGGAAACTATAATGAGAAACCCCTATATATAATTTCCTAGTGATAAAAAGGTAGAAGGCCTTGTCATTTGTCAACAGACAAGTTAATGTTCACCGCAACTAAAGCATGTAAGAATAGATATGTTAGCCTACGTTTGTATACACCTAGTAAACATGTCGCGTTGACCACCAAGGTAAACGTCGTCTGTCAGCAGTTAGTTCAGCCCTTCAAAACGGCTTCCATTAATCCGACCTACCCTATAGTAAGTTTTTTGTAATTGCCAATCACAGTAGAGATAAGCTTCATTTACCAAATATTATTGTGTTAATAGTATACAACATTTGATATAGCGCCTTATCTAGCTAACATAAGCCACTCTAAAGCGCTTTACAGTACATAGATATACAATTCATACAATCAATACAATTAGCATATACATTTATCTATACAATTTTGAGGAATTCGTTACACTAATATATATATATTCAATACTTCTACTTCATTCTATGTGAAAATAACTGATTAAATTAACTAAGTCCCTGCTTTTGCCTTCACTTTACTGTTCAGGGAGTTGGTCCTCTGTCAGCTGCATAGTCTTAAAACTAAAACACCCCAGCAGACTAACCTCCTCAGCAGTTTCCATTGCTTCTCCATGGGAATGACAAGTCAATCAGCCTGACTAGCTGACCCCTCCCTCCTGGTTGTTATCGATCATGAGACAAAGTGCTGACAATACATTGAAAAAAGATATGGTTTTCTATCAGTTTTTGGAAATTGCAGTAGGGACATTGTTTTTTAAAAATGTCTATTTTTGTCATATCTGTATGAATGTAGATGTAGACCAGGTCTTTGGGAACAAAGGAAATTTGCTTTATTCTATAAGCTGGCACTTTAAGGATCCCTGTCCCACTGCACTGGTTTTTCCTTGATTCAGTTATCTCCCCTCAACTTCCATTTCGATGTTACTGTAGAACAATTTGGCCAGGACATCCATTGACCAGGTCACTCAATCTGTTAAAGGGATAGTTTAGCAGTCTGAAGTCCAGGGTTGGAATCCTGGTCTAGCTCTGCAGTGATTTTTATGCCCCCGCCATAAAATGGGGGGGGGCATATAGTGTTGCCCATGTCCGTCGCGTCTCATCCATGAGCAGGGGCATTTATTAAATGTCTTACAGACATTTTCTAGTTTCACATTCAAAGTTCTGTGTAGTTGATTATATTTTGTTTATTTCATTTTTAGCTCACCTGGCACGAAGTGCCAAGTGAGCTTATGCCGTGGCGCGGCATCCGTCGTCCGGCCGTCCGTCGTCCGGCCGTCCGGCATCCGGCGTCAATATTTTACTTTAAACGACTTCTTCTTAATAACCAAAATGCCCAGGGAGATGATATTTGGCCAGTAGCATGCTTGGGTGAAGGGCTACCAAGTTTGTTCAAATGAATGACCTTCAATTATATTCAAGGTCACAGGGGTCAATTGTATTAAAAAACCTTTAAACAACTTCTTCTGAATAACCAAAATGCTCAGGGTGATGATATTTAGCCAGTAGCATGCTGAGATGAAGTGCTACAAAGTTTGTTCAAATGAATGACCTTCACCCATATTCAAGGTCACAGGGGTCAAATATGTT